ATAAGATTAGCAAAAATAAGGGTAGCAAAAAATTACATGGGGCTGGAGCCCACCCTTGCCTAAGGGTGGCTCCGCCCCTGGCGAGACATATTGTTAGAGCCTAGCTATAGAATTTATGCCATCATCACAAACCTAATTAAATGTCTTTCATAATATAACTAAACTCACATATGATATGAACACAACAAATCAAGCAGCGCCACTAATTTTAATTATTAGAAAAAACTCAACTAATCAAGAACATAATTAATGAAAATGTTTAATTAATTAACTATGGCAGATTTGCCCAACTGTATGGAGTCATCATGACCGGATTGTAGTCTTCCACGTTAAGAACGTAGCTGCATTCTCCTATCTCGTTCACGTTCCCGGGCCCACGTGGCTTGTCGGAGCTCGGCATTGACGTGCTCTCGACCGTCTCCTCACCGGAAACCTCCGTGTAGTTGGTCGAGACTTGTTTTTTGGCCACTTGATCTTTGAGTATTGCCCTTAGAGCCAAAACCTAGAAAATTTCGAAAATTTGCTAATATAATTAGAGACGATTTTGAACGAGCTAGTCTCGAATTAATAATCGAACAATTTCATTAATTAAGTTCGTTTGCTATACTATTCAAATACGAGTTTTGACGAACAATTAAATGAACAAGTGCTATTTGCCTGCAACATACAATCATTATGCATGTCTAGTTTTTGTGTATAAGCAAACAGACAAACCCAGAAAAAAAAGGTGTTGAGAGTGTAAATTAGAGATCTTTTGTATGAAAATGACAAGTGATGTTTTGTGTTGGGATAAAAAAAAAAAATAAAAAAAAAAATAAAAAAAAAGTTCATAATCTTTTTCTACCTTTTATGAACTATGATACCCTTTGTTCAGGGGACATGCTTTTATTTATTTATTTATTTATTTATTTTATTTTTTAAAAATAATAATAATAATATATATTTATTGACATCAAGATATTTTTAATTATAGAAATTATAATAAATGAAAAGTAGGGCCAATATAGAAAGCCATTAC